GACAAACACGCAGTCCTTGGGGAGAAAGGACCAATTCCATTTCTGCACCATACCTGGCAGCCAGGAGTTCACCCAGAAACATTTCAATCCTATGAACTTCGTTTTTCTTCTCAGGAATGTGCTGTTTACTCTCTCCTGAGTTTTCTGAGCTTAACCTCTCATTCATTTCATGGATCCATAAATTCAGTTTTCTGTGCTGGTCCTCAAAGCTAAAGAGAAGAAAAACACCATAGAGAAATTCTTAGGTTATCATTATAATAAATACATTCTAATAGCTGAGGTCACAATGTCTACAACAATCACGTTTTCATGAATTTTCAAGGAGAAGAAAACTCAACAATAAGCTCATTCAAACGATCGCTTATTTCAGTAACAAAATGGCAAATCATGAAAATTTCTCTTGCAATCCGGGCAGAAATGAATCACCCTATCAAACTGAATTGATTACCTGGTAATCATAGGTGGTAATTACCAGCAAGATTACATTCCCCTGCAACATACACTTGACTTTTTGGGTTTTACTAGAGACCCTGAATTGGGGTCCATGGATAAGGGAGGCTGTGGAAGCCCTGTGAGAAAAAGGGGAAGTCCTCTCTGTGTCTTTGTATCCTATGGGATATTGATATGGCACCAGAGCGCAAGGGCTCTATGTTTTGAAAACAGTGTAAATTCTCTGAGAAACCTGGATAAGAGTCAGGCAAATTACTCCACTACCAGAAAGGCATTTTGATTATACTGACATAGTTTTCCCCCTAGTAACAAGGTTCCCCCCGCCCTTTCTTATTCTATATTCACCCATGTTGACCTAGCTTCCTGATTGGACTCTTGACTCACATAAATACAGTAGGTGTTTCTGCCATGACTCCAACCCAGCAGGAGTAGACTCAAGAAAAAGACTTGGATAATATAAAACCTGGATGCCAAAGCTCTAATATCTTGAGTTAGTCAAACAGACCAAAAAAATGTATGAATTCATGTCATTCACAGTTACTAGTGAGTATAATTCCTTTATATTCTGTGTAGAAAATCAAACCACGTGATGCCATCATAGTTCGAGCAGTCAGTTGTTGTCCCAGTATGAATCTGTAATTAAGGTCAAAGCTTCACATTTAAACTCACAATTTCAAAGATTCATTTATTCTCAATGGCATTTTTTCTCTAAGTCCCTGAAGACATTCTTTACAGGATGAAATCTACCTGTATCAAAACAACCTACCTCCCAAGTTCCAGGGCGCAGTCTTGAAGAGCCTGCTTGTCTTTGAGGCACTGTCTCAGAAATGCTTGAAACTCCTCGTTTGCCTTGGTAATCTGCTCCTGAATGCTACTGACCATTTGTTTAGGCAAATGTGCATACAACGTTTGTCCTTCCTGAGTCACGGCATCAAGCTTGCGCTGCCCATTACCGACCGAGTCCAAAATGGTCTGTTTCAGGAAATAAAAGTAATATAAAACATTTGCTATCGTTCAGAGACCCTGGTGCATGGGAGCACTAATTACAACTCTGAGCTGAGCTAGTAGAGTGAGAGCAGAAAAACAGGGGCCAAAGGAAGACAGCCGTTGACAAGGCTGGAGTAAGAATGATGTTTGCAACTGGAGATAATTGAGGCTCATCCCTGAGGACGGGCCAGCCAGGCATTGGAACCACTGAGGACCCACTGGGAACAATGCCAACCTGGGAAGGAGGATGTTCTTACCAAGGTCTTGTCCTCAGTCTCTCCCCTTTCTCACCATCCCAACCTAGTGCAGGCTCCACCTCCACATGGTTAGTGTGATGTCTTCTAACTGGTTAGCTGCCTCTATCCCTCCTCCTCCTCTGATCCGCCCTGCACACCATATCCTGACTTGGGTTCCCTTCTTTGCTTGGTGTGCACCTCTTCTTTGGAAGACCATATGCACGGGCATTGGCTTTGGCAGAGCAAAAGGACCCAGAACTGCTGTGCTAGTCCTGCCTCGTCCCTAAGTTCCAGACTTTTCTCTGTGGAGTTTCACTGCATCTCAGGCCTTAAAGGGGACAATTCCCATCTGCAGTCACCCTGCCTCCTGCGAAACTAGCTTCCTGTATGATGACACTCTTCCTACTCTGACAGCGAATGAGTTATCTACATACTTGTCATCACCCATTAGGCCACAGAATCCGCATGTTTCCATTAATTTCTTAAAAATTATTTTTACAATACTTAATACAATGCTTTGCTCAGATTCGCTACTTAAAAAACAAAGCCAAAACTCAGTATGAATCTAGTCTTGCATCAATTATTTTTTAACTCTGCTTCACAATGGCCTTCTCTTTCCTGACTTCATACATTTTTTCCTAGTGAGTAAAACCTATACAATCTATAATATCTATTGCTTTGATTTGAATATTTCTAAGTTCCAAATTTAGACCACAGGTTGTTAAAAAGCACACGTGATGTCAGTGGTGTCTTCTTTTTAAAACTCCTCCATGATAGTAACGTGAAATAGATATCACTGTTTATGCTTTTACTGCTATAGAAATTAAGATTAGGTTCAGTTTAGAGTGAATTCCAAATAGTCAATAGGCTAAAAGAGAGGGGAAGGGGATCTAGAAATTCTACAGCTCTAACTTGATATTTCAGCTTACTTTTCATATTGCTTATCTCCTTATCACTCAAGAAATCTAATTCTGATAAGGAAAAATAAACCTTTGAATAAGATTAAAAGATTTGGAAAGAGGTGATTTAGGTCTGACCCAATGGCACTGAGTGTAGTTTGGGGAAGAAGAAAAGGCAATACCAGTGTTCGTACCTGAAGGTCGCGAAGCTTCGCCTCTAGAACTTTGCTGTCACCAGTTCTGTCTGATGATTTTTTTGCTGCTGCTTTTATTCCAGAAAACCATTCTTGGAACTCCTTCATGGACTCTTTGGAAAAGAACATGAATGAGAAATGCATCCAAAACATTGAATGAGCTACCATGGAATTAATTCTGGCCTTCAGCCCATTGCATTGTGCCTTTACAAAAACATTCCAGAAGGAAGATCATAAATAATCTAGAATATGACATATATGACACAGCATGATCTACAGCCATGCCTGTTCACAGTAGAATCAAGAAATTGTCTCAGAGAAAAGACTGGAAAGAGATCCACTTTCCTTCAATGTCCGATTTCCCCTTACGTCCTCTTTATTTTGGAAAAGAAATAATTTAGTTGCCTGACTCCTGAAAGAGTGCAAGGGGAGAAAATACTTTAGGGGTGCTAAAAGCCATTTTTTGTGGGCACAAGGGGGCAACCCTTCTTCCTCCTTTCCCGCAAGGCTGAATTTGAGCGCTTGCCATTAATGTGGCCCCCGTCAGAACCCCAGGCAGCCGTGGGGAAAAATGAACTCCCGGACCATCCCT